ACTCGACCAACTTAACTTTTCTCTCGGCAATTCACCCATAACTGATCATGAACATACCTTACTGAACAAAATAACACAAAGTGCTCAAGGACTTGAACTTGACATGACTAAAACACATGCCTACGGCCCGTGGTGCGCTATATGCGCAATCACATCCCATGGCCTAACTAACGAGCCAAAACATGAACATACTCCGAGCAACACCACATAACTGAACATGATATTAAATAAAAAGGCTGATTTCATGATCAGTGCTCGAGAGACATAAGCTTAAAACATGAGCTCACTCACGACGCACTCGCACGGCCAAAATGCCTAAGACCGCACCATGAACATGAATAATTCGAACGGGTATGCCCTTATCATGAATAACTCAAGGTAAACGAAGTTACCTTGTTACGTGCTCGCTGAACCACACCAGTACTCTCGGCGTTCGGCGCTTCGTGCGGTGCTTGCGGCAAGATGTGTGCGTGCGATGCGTGTTACTTGCGATAGCTCGGCGTGAGTACTTGCGCTAACTTATGAAATTGCTTAACCTCCCAACTCACTCTATATTCTGAACTATAAGCTTGAAGAAAGTGGGAAAATTTCCCCAAACTTACCTATTTATACCAAGATGGCCGAATGGGTTAGGAGGTGGAGGATTTAAGCTAAAGACACTTGTGGCAAAATAAAGCCTTCTTAGGTGACTAATCACCTTATTATCTCATATAATGCCACGTATAAGCTTACTAATTGAAGGTAAAAATTCTCCCAAAATGCCCACTTAAAATATAGCTACGGCACTTAAAAGCATTTAGGACATTTGGTACGGCTTATGATCATTAACTCGTGATTAATTTGCTAATTAATCACTTAATCATGTTTAATTATTTAATTAAACATAATGCTTAATTACCAAAATTATTCCGAACGTAAATGGTACGTCGAAAATAATTTCCGGTAATCTCGACTGAAATGGCTGAATTAATTAATTCTGAAAATTAATACTCGACAATATTAATATATCGGAACTAAAAACATGATTTATACTGATAAACTGACGGGATATTACAATCCTCCCTCCTTACAAATTTCCGTCCTCAGAAATTCAAAACATAACTGAATATACATGAACTATGTACATGGAACAAGAAAATATGTACATCAAAACTGAAAATCTGGAAAACGAGCGCGAATATCGGACTCCGCCTCCCAAGTAGCTCTGTGGAAATCCCACTGAATACGCACGAGGGGAACATCTCGCTTCCGGAGCCGACGAACCTGACGGTCTAGTACAGCTACCGATCGCTCCTCGTACGAAAGATCTGGCTGAACCTGAATATCTGAATGAGGAATGACATGATCGGGGTTGCACACGTACTTACGCAACATAGATGCGTGAAAAACATTACGAATGCCTGATAGCTCGGGAGGTAGGGCTAACCGATACGCGACCTCGCCTACTCGCTCGAGAACCTCGAACGGACCGATGAATCGAGGGTGCAGCTTTCCTCTCTTTCTGAATCGAACGACTCCGCGAATCGGACGAACTCTGAGAAAAGCTGGCTCGCCAACCTCAAACTGAATATCTCGTCGGTGATGATAGGCTGAAGATTTCTGTCGACTGTGAGCTATCTTGAGTCTCTGCCGGATCAACTCGACCTGATCTGCTGTCTCCTCGATCAATTTGGGACCGAGTACTCGTCTCTCTCTGACGTCGTCCCAATAAAGAGGGGAACGACATTTGCGACCGTAAAGTGCCTCGTAAGGAGCCATCTAAATAGAAGAATGATAGCTGTTGTTATACGCGAACTCGGCGTACGGCAACAACGACTCCCACTTAGCACCCCTGTCAACAACCAAAGCGCAAAGCATATCCTCAAGTGTCTGAATAGTCCGCTCTGACTGACCGTCTGTCTCCGGATGATAGGCTGAACTAAACTCTAGCTTCGTGCCCATCGCCTCGTGTAAACTGTGCCAGAATATGCTGACGAATCTGGGATCTCTGTCTGATACGATAGTAACGGGCACTCCATGGAGTCGGATGATCCCACGGGTATATATCTCAGCCAATTTATCCAAAGACATCTTCATCGAAACGGGTAAGATGAGCGACCTTAGTCAATCTGTCGACCACGACCCAGACAACATCGTGATGTTCAGACGACCTCGGTAATCCCGTAACGAAATCCATCGTGACTTCCTCCCACTTCCACCTCGGAATCGGCAGTGGCTGCAGGAGGCCGATCGGACTCTGATGTTCGGCTTTGACTTGCTGACAGGTAAAACATCTTCTGACGAACTCGCCAACGTCCTTCTTCATTCTGCGCCACCAGAACGACCCTTTCAGGTCATGATACATCTTCGTGCTCCCGGGATGGGCTAAATAGGGTGCAGTATGAGCCTCTGATAAAATCTCCTTCCGCAACGCCTCGACCTTCGAGACCACGATCCTGCCTTTGAACTCTAGGGCACCATCGGCACCTAGCTGAAAACCCTCGACGCCTCCGGCGCGAACCTTGGCATCCATGACATGAACAAACTCGTCAGAAGCCTGCTCTCGCCGGATTCTCTCTCTCAGCGTCGGCTGAATCTGCATGGCACTGACACTGTCACTGACACTCCCCGAAATGGCTGTGGGAAGTGCATCGATCGCCTGAAGCTGCATCCGGGAAAACTCCTAAATCAACGGACTCTGCTGAGTAATGACGTACGTCAAGTCACCCCTCACCTTTCGGCTCAGGGCGTCAGCAACGACGTTCGCCTTTCCCGGATGATACTGAATAGAGCAATCGTAATCTTTGATGAGTTCTAACCAACGGCGCTGTCTCATGTTGAGCTCCTTCTGAGTAAAAATATACTGCAAGCTCTTATGGTCTGTGAAAATCTCACAATGACCGCCGTAAAGATAGTGTCGCCAAATCTTGAGAGCATGAACAACTACTGCTAACTCCAAGTCATGCGTCGGATAGTTCTGCTCATGCGGCTTAAGCTTAAGTGAAGCATACGCAACGACCTGGCCATCCTGCATAAGGACGCATCCCAAGCCCTGTCTCGAAGCATCGCTGAAAATGGTGAAACTCCGAGAAGGATCGGGAATAGTCAACACCGGTGCTAAAGTTAACCTCCTCTTGAGCTCCTGAAAGCTCGACTCACATCGGTCATGTTGGTGTTATATACTTAAGCTTTGCTTTAGTGGATATTACACTTGTTATTTCTTGATGAATGAGAATTATGTTTGGTTAAATAAGTTCCACGTTCTGTTGTTTTGCATGTAGATAAGTGGGTCGTCATTGGGCATACTGAAGATCACTATATCAGTTACTTGCGAAACAAGAATCATTGGTTCACAACCTA